ACACCGAGTCTCTGTTACTGCGCTGTGTCGCCGCGTCCTCAGCCCTTGAAACGACCCCTCGTTCCTACTGGCCGGTGTGCCTTTAGGACAGGCGTCCAGTCATGTTGTTGTCTCAACAGATGCTTCCAACACAGGCTGGGGGGCTGTGTGCTGTGGGCATGCAGCGACGGGCCTGTGGAAAGGAACCCAGTTGCAATGGCATATCAATCGCCTGGAGCTGTTGGCAGTGTTCCTCATTCTCCACCATTTTTTTCCAGTGCTGGAGCAGCAAACAGTGCTGGTCAGGACGGACAGTACAGCGGCGGTGACGTATATCAACCGCATGGGGAGATCATTAGATCATCTGAGCAGCTCTTCGTCTGTTATGGCGGTCGGCAGCAGGGAAGTGTCGTATCGAAACAAAGGCTGGCCCACTGGATAGCGGATGCCATCTCTCTCGCTTATCAGAGCCGAGGCGAGCCGTGTCCCCCGAGAGTGCGTGCGCACTCCACTTGGAGCATCGCATCCTCTTGGGCGAGTGCACGCGGCGCCTCTCTAACAGACATCTGTAGAGCTGCGGGCTGGGTGACACCTAAAACATTTGCAAGGTTTTACAATCTGCGAGTGGAGCCGGTTTCCTCAAGGGTATTAGGTAACCCTTGGTGATTGAGGAAACAATTCGGTTAAGGTGTTGAAACACGCTTGCTGTGCCATTCTCCCTAACACGAAGATACGTGTGCCTTTTTATCTGTCAGTAAAGTTCCCCATCAGGTGAGCCCTGCAGATTCCTCCGAGGCCCCCATATGAAGGTAAATCAGTTGCGTAACTCGAGAGCTTTCAAATGTAAATGTGAGCACTTGTGATAATAATATTTGTATGTGTAGGTTGAAATGTACACTTACAGCTCTGATGTGAACAGCTGAATCCCTCGATTTGCACACACACACAACAATCCACACACTTGTGTTTTAAATTGGAAGTTGCAGATTAATAGTTGTGTATTTGTAAAATGTCATTTACAAATACAAAATGACAGACACACGTGTGCACGGCAAATTTGATTGCATCTTATCTCTACAATCACAGGTCGGCGCTCACAACCTCTCAGTTTCGTCAGTACAACTACAAATCTCCCGCGCTCTGACTTTTGCTACACATCTCTCGCGATCTCTGTAGCAGAACCCATCTGTGCACTTGCAAATGCAGAGGCGTGAGCAGCGCGGGGCGGGGGAGGGGCGGGGCAGGTGTAAAGCTGTTTGATTGGCTGATGCCTGACCAATGAACAATGCCAGCAGCCAACAGGACTGAGGTGCAAAAGAATCATTTCCCACGATTATTTTATTATTTAGGGTTTATTTCAACTCTTTTCTGAAGAGATTCTTGTTAAAAATCATTAATTTTGCGGAAATGTACATACCAGTAAAAGAGCAGCAAAGCCAGTTTATTGGCTAGAGCCAGCCAATGAGATGGGGCGTTTCTGTTTGTCAGGACACAGGGCAGCTCACGTTGTTGGAGGCCTCGAGCAATCAGAGGGTAAGTTATGATTTTTAATAATTATCTATATGTTCAATACTGTTAGCTAAGCTAAGGACTGTGCTAGGTGCTTCTCTAGTTTGTTTTTTTATATAAGAAACAGTTATGAGTTATGTAGGAGTTGCTTTCTATCATGTTATATCGTTCTAAAGATACGATTCAACCCACATGAAATAAGTTGTAATAGTATTTATAGTAAATAATATTACGTTTTTGAACCATACTAACTATAGTAAACTGTATTATACTGTATATACTGCAGTATCTACAACTTTGTTAATGAATGCAACAGCACACTGTAATATTAACTAGCATGAACTTTAATAAATTGAAGTATATTTACACACACATTAATAGCAATTAAAAATAACACTAGGCGTTTCAGTTTCTCACTGATTATACCGGTTTTTGTTATAATAACCTGCATCATGGCTATCTATCCATCTATCTATTTACATGTTTGTGTACAGTGTGTCCTTTATATCACTTTTTTAATTATGAAAGTTACTAACTATAGGTTATTTCTCAGTTTCCTGTAAGGATGGAGTGACAGGAGAGATCAGCATGTTTCAAGTCGATGAGGAACTCAGAGAAGCTGCATAGCTTGAATAGGATGTTATTTATGCTAAAGATGACATGATGATCCAGCTCATCTACAAACACTTCAAAATGATTCTGATCATTCAAGAGGAAGCCGACCATTTGTTTTCTCTTTTTACCTGCCAAGATGATTACAGATTTGAACAAAACACACACTCACCCACACACACAACTTTTATTTTGATAATTGTTTAATGTAGGATTTTTACACTTTACTGTAAAGTAGGGCTGTCAAACTTATTTCCTGGAGGGCCGTAACCCTGCACGTTTTTAGTTTCAACCCTGCTTCAACACACTTAAGTGAAAGTTTCAAACAAACCTGAAGGACTCAGTTAGTTTGATCAGGTGTGTTTAATTAGGGTTAGAACTAAACTTTGCAAAGCTGCAGCCCTCCAGGAACTGAGTTTGACACCTGTGCTGTAAGGGAAATGTTTAACATTAATTTGTCAAATAAAATTTATAGTGCAAATAAGTGCAGTGCAAATGTCTAGTTACTTGTATTGAAATATTTCAGGGTTTTTCCTTGTTCATAATGAGATGGAGGTGGTAAATTCAACTTCATCATTACCCATCAAATGTTATCTCCTCTTTAATCCTTTGCTCAAACCTTTAGTAATGGGCAAAAAGCAAGCCATTGTGTAAAGCTGGTTGATGCTCGCTGTAATAGAGAGAGATGATGACTGTTCAGCTTATGTTGCTTAACCCTGCAGATGAGATGCTCAAAGTGGACCCTCAGCCGAGCGATGGACACTGTCTCCCTCACCTAGTTGCTCTTCCTTTGAACACACATATCATGTTGAAGGATGCAAGTTGTGGACCTAAATCAGATGTAATGGATGTAGATGTATAAATCAGAAAGAAATGAAACTGCTTTAAAATGTATTAGGTTTTACATATAAATATGTGTTCTTAACAGATTTGTTTCAACTTGATATTTGCATAATAAATGACATTAGAATGTTTAGTTTTAAACAGCTATATTTCAATCTTATCAAATTTAAGCTATATATATATATATATATATATATATATATACTTCAATTTATTAAAGTTCATGCTAGTTAATATTACAGTGTGCTGTTGCATTCATTAACAAAGTTGTAGATACTGCAGTATATACAGTATAATACAGTTTACTATAGTTAGTATGGTTCAAAAACGTAATATTATTTACTATAAATACTATTACAACTTATTTCATGTGGGTTGAATCGTATCTTTAGAACGATATAACATGATAGAAAGCAACTCCTACATAACTCATAACTGTTTCTTATATAAAAAAACAAACTAGAGAAGCACCTAGCACAGTCCTTAGCTTAGCTAACAGTATTGAACATATAGATAATTATTAAAAATCATAACTTACCCTCTGATTGCTCGAGGCCTCCAACAACGTGAGCTGCCCTGTGTCCTGACAAACAGAAATGCCCCATCGCATTGGCTGGCTCTAGCCAATAAACTGGCTTTGCTGCTCTTTTACTGGTATGTACATTTCCGCAAAATTAATGATTTTTAACAAGAATCTCTTCAGAAAAGAGTTGAAATAAACCCTAAATAATAAAATAATCGTGGGAAATGATTCTTTTGCACCTCAGTCCTGTTGGCTGCTGGCATTGTTCATTGGTCAGGCATCAGCCAATCAAACAGCTTTACACCTGCCCCGCCCCTCCCCCGCCCCGCGCTGCTCACGCCTCTGCATTTGCAAGTGCACAGATGGGTTCTGCTACAGAGATCGCGAGAGATGTGTAGCAAAAGTCAGAGCGTGGGAGATTTGTAGTTGTACTGACGAAACTGAGAGGTTGTGAGTGCCGACCTGTGGTTGTAGAGATAAGATGCAATCAAATTTGCCGTGCACACGTGTGTCTGTCATTTTGTATTTGTAAATGACATTTTACAAATACACAACTATTAATCTGCAACTTCCAATTTAAAACACAAGTGTGTGGATTGTTGTGTGTGTGTGCAAATCGAGGGATTCAGCTGTTCACATCAGAGCTGTAAGTGTACATTTCAACCTACACATACAAATATTATTATCACAAGTGCTCACATTTACATTTGCAAGCTCTCGAGTTACGCAACTGATTTACCTTCATACCCCCAGCACTGACTCAGTGGAGGAGTCACTTGCTGGCCCACTACGTTGTAGGTCTGCCCGCTGGTCAGCCCGCAGAGTCCTCCCTATCGGGATTGCATGCTTTCCCAACGTACTGTTGTATTTCCCTAGAATTTTCTAGACTCTTGCGACTTACCAAAAAATACATCTAAATCCGTAAAACTTCTGTTGAAGTGGGATAAGTAAGGGCCAGGGACCACATTGGAGGACCGCACCTCTCCTTGATGCAGGGCGCTCACGCTTGCTTGGCTATCCTCTCATCGGAGGTGAAGGTAAGGTGCAGTCATTATGGCGTTTTCCATACATTCCCCCATTCAGTGGATTACAATTAAATCCACTAATAGCATTGGAGTTCCCCATCCAAAGGGGAACGCTCTGGTTACTAAAGTAACCCTAGTTCCCCGAGGAGGGGAACGGAAATGCTATTTAGCATCGCCATAATGACTGTTCCTTAGCTATAAGTTTAGTCGCTTCAGCTTAAAAGGATGTTGTGTCCTTGCTTCACCTGTGCTTCGCAATAATAATACTCGCAATAATGACTAATACTAATATTTGCAGTAATTCATTGGCATTTCATTGGCCAGTTGTATACTCTTTCAGACAATTGGCTTTCTGAAACGAAATCTCACATTCAGTGGAATATAATTAAATCCACTAATAGCATTTCCGTTCCCCTTCTCGGGGAACGAGGGTTACTTTAGTAACCAGAGCATTCTTTATCTTTTTCCAACACAGAAAAAATAAATTACGTCATGCTCACTGGTCCATATGAACCATTAATTGAAGGTGAATCATCTGCTAACATCACCTCTAAGGGAGACGGCCCCATCACCTCTGTGCAGTGGATGAAAGATAACAGTCCTCTGTCTTCTAGCAGAATCATCTTCTCATCTGATAACAGATCAGTGTCTATCAGTCCAGTGGAGAGATCAGACACTGGAGAATATCAGTGTACATACAGTAACCCTGTCAGCTCTGAGACGGCAAAACTCACCCTGATCATCAACTGTGAGTGTGAAACATCTCAACATCTGAGCTGATGAAATTTAGACTTTATTAAGCTCTCAGTTTGTTCCTCTAACAGTGAGTCTCTTGTTTGTGTTGTAGATGGACCAGAAGGTGTTTCTATTAAGGGTCCAGATATGGTGGATTTAGGGGTTCAAGTATTTCTGTCTTGCACTGCAAATTCTGAACCTTCTGCTTCATTCAGCTGGACATTTAATGGGTCAGACACTGGTGTGACTAGAGACACATTGACCATTGATAAGACTGACTTCACACACAGTGGAGAATACATCTGTACAGCCATTAATAGAGTCACAAACAGAAGAGAATCACAAAGACATGCTTTACTAGTTCAAGGTAAACAGTTACAGCTAACTAAACTAAATTTTAAACTAAACTCAAGGTTAACATCACTGCAGTTTATGCATAAAATAATCTTTTGTCTTGTATATTTGTCACAGAGGGTGGTGAAGCTGGTTTAGGAGGAGGACTGCCAGCAGGAGCAATAGCTGGGATTGTCATTGGCGTTTTAGTAGCAGTTGGAGGCATCTGTGGTCTTATTGTCTACTTCACAAAAACCAACAAAATGTGATTAAGCTACATTTATCAAAGTTTTAACACATTAGCTTATATGTTGATATTTAAATATCTATAATCTAGATTTTTTTTGTGTTTGAACAGATATTTTAAAATCCAGTTTGTTATTAAGCTGTGTCCATTTATAGTTACTCTTCTGAAAAGTGTTCTTATTTATTTATTTTTCATGTGCAAAAACAAGATGAGTAGTGAAAACAGTTTTCAACAGTTTGTAAACCACAGTAATGTGGTAGCTATAACTAAATATTTTTTGTCTTTATAGCCCAACCCAAAGACTTCAACACAAAGGACAAGCAAGTGGAGGTAAGTTTATTGTTGTTCATAAAATCAACATGAGTTTGATTTAATTAAACCAGGGATTGGCAAGCTCTGTCCTAGGGAGTTTTGGTCATGCAGTTTTGCTTCAAAACTATTTAAACATTGGCTGCTTGTGAAGTATTGCAAATGATGGAAAGAAAAAAAAAAAAAAAAAAAAAAAAAAAAAAAAAATATATATATATATATATATATATATATATATATATATATATATATATATATATATATATATATATATATATATATATATATATATATATATATATATATATATATATATATATATATATATATTGCTAACGTATAAGACCTTGCATGAACTTGCAGCACAATATCTGGCAGATCATTTAACACTACACGCCTACCAGAAATGTAAGATTTTTTCAGTGTGGTCTTCTACTTGCCTGCAATCGTCTTCAAAGATTACATTCTCATTATGCTTCTGAACTATGGCATAATCTCCCAGCTTGCTCTTGCTATTTTTAAATCTTTACCTAAAACATTTTAGTTTGAAGCTCCTCTCTTTTTATCTTTTATCATTGTTGTATTTTTAATGCTTTTTAGTTTGTTGAAAAAGTAATTTTTAAAGGCGCTATATAAAATAAATGTATTATTATGAGTAATATTATTCATTCATTCCTCTAATTTTCTTTTAAATTTAGTCCCTTTATTAATCAGGGGTCACCACAGCGGGATGAACCGCCAACTTATCCAGCATGTTTTACGCAGCAGATGCCCTTCCAGCTGCAACTCATCACTGGGAAACACCTATACACTCCCATTCACACACATACACTGTGGACAATTTAGCTTTTCCACTTCACCTTAACCTCATCTTTGGACTGTGGGGAAACCTACATGAATATGCAAACTCCACACAAAAATGCTTGAACCAGCGACTTTCTTGCTGTGAGACTATTATTATTATTATTATTAACCCTAGAGCAGCTCAGAAAAAAAAGGTTCCTTGGGGTCCTCCTGAACCCAAATATTTACAGACCAATTACATAGGGAAATATACATACATCCATACAAATATACATATACATATTACATGGTAAACTATATATAATTTTTACAGTCACTTCTCAACTTTGCTTTTATTTAATGTTTGTGTGGATATTTTGAACTATTTTGAACTAGTGATACAAAATCACTAAATATTATTTATTAATACTATATTATTTAATACAAAAAATATATATCTAACCTGAATTTCATATAAAGGGTTTATGGGTATTGGTTTATATTTTAGAAATAAAACACTGCCATCTAAAGTTAGAGAAAAAAAGATTAGATTTATTGTTAAAAAATGCAATTTCCACATGTATTTTAATTGTGTGCTTTTTACCCAGCCAAGTACACGTGCATGTGTGTGTGTGTGCATGTGTGTGTCCATGTTGATTTTGTGCTTTAGTGTTAGTACTTTTTAGAACATTTTTCAGACTTATGCCACGTTTGTAGATTTTAAATTTTTTTATTAATTTCTATAAAATAATGTTCTCTATTGCAGTCATACATATGTGTTTACGCGCACACAAGACATATACTTTTGTGCTCTAGACCCAGGCCTTTGCAGAAATGTAAAGAAATATTAGATTTATAATGGGTTTAAAATTTATTTTGTGGTTGTGAGTGTGAACACAAATATTGTGGTGAGCGCAGAGGAAGTCCTCATGGATATTAACTTTGAAGGTGGGGTAAAGTTTGGACGTTAAAAGCACATGTGTCTGAGAGTGCATGTGCATGTTGGCCTGCAGCCAGAATCCTTCATAATGACCATTCCATAATAGATTTCAAATGATCAGTTCGTTTTTAAACTTTATTCAGTCATATTTCTGTCTGTATTAAACTCAAAATCTTTTGCTTTCTCTAAACAGCAGCACAAAGAGGACAGGAGCTTGTGAGTAACTTTGCGATTTCTGTTTTTATTTTCTCAACACAACAAAGTTTTATTCTATTTATTAAATGAACACCTTTTGCAGTTAGTTAAAAAAAAGACTACTTTTTTCTCAAAATACTGTTCAAAGTTATGTTAATTTAGAAACAAAATGTCCTGGTTACATACGTAACCCACATTCCCCGAAAAGGGAATGGAAATGTGTGTCTGTATAAACAGACTTTTGGGAGTGCTTTAGATGACCAATCACTTCTATGAAAACAGGCCAATGAAATGCCAATTGAAATGGCGGAGCCAAATAGGGCTAAATCAGTCGGCTGCTGGAGCCAGCTCATCAGAATTTGCCTGCTGAAGAGCCGATTGCTCAGCTCCCAGCTGGAGACACTGTCCTGTGGTAGCTGTCTGGTGCTGTGGCAATGGAGACACACGTCTCTGTTCCCTATTCGGGGAACGTGGGTTTCGTCTGTAACCAGGACGTTTCCCTTCATAAAGTAACTTCTACGTGTGTTGGTATAAACAGAAGCTGCGTCCCAAATGGCACACTATACACTATGCACTCATGCACTATGTACTTATGCACTTACACACTCAACAGGATAGTATATGTATGTAGTGTCGTCCCAAATGGCACACTAATGTTTTTTTTACTAAGCGGAAATTCAAACCGTTTCCCTGATGACGTTTGACGGTAGTCAAATCAGTGAAATATACGACCAAATTATCAAATAATACCTGCCGTGATTATTGCCGCATTTACCATCGGGAGCTTTAGAGGTATGCACCAAGGAGGGGCTGCTGCAAGGAGTGTCAGCTGTGAAACCCAGGTCCGGTTTCACCATCGGGAGCCGCTATAATCACTCTCGTAGAAGAATTTTGCTTTCACCGTCCAAAATAAATAAAGTTATCCAACATGTGCGTCCGATAGCTCTGCCCCTTCCGCTACGTAAGCAAACTTGCGGTCGTTGAGTGCGTGAAGTGTCCATCATTGCACACTTCATTTTAGCGGCTGAATGAGTGCATCATCCGGGTAATTAAAGTGCACTTATTATTTTTAGAGTTTTTTGTGTGAACACACTACTTACACATTTTTTATACTACAAAATGGCGTGGAATAGTGCATAAGTATGCAATTTGGGATGCAGCTAGACTTTTGGGAGACTGTATGGAAAGCGCCACAGCAGCCAAAGCCCATTGCGCTTCTGATGTGTAGTTTGCCAAGCCAAAGCGTGAGCGCACTGACACCAAGAGCACAACTTTCCAACATCTCCTAGGCCCAACATATTACCATTACATGGGAATAAAATGTGTAATGTTTAATCGGGGGCATAAGTGTGCTTTTACCTAGCTAATATAGACTAGGTATTTTTGGAAATACGACAGTACGTTGGGAAGCGTGCCAGTCTCCGAAGGGAGAGGACGCAGAAGAGACAACCTGTTACCCAGAAGGAGAGACCCGATGGTAAAGAGACATATGGACTAGCCCTAATGAGGGAGAGTGCTACTATATGATAAGCTGGTTAGCGGTTTAGGGAACACACCGTGGAAATAATGCATATGGCATCACCAATTGGGGATGCACATAGCTGGCACCGATCCTCAATATGCATGTAGACCAAATGGGCGTACTAACCGCACACTGAGCCATGCACTCGACTCCTCCGCTGAGTCCATGCTTGGGGCCTCGGAGTTACCCAATAACCAGGAGGAAACTGACTCCACTCGAAGATTACAGAACCTCACGAATGTGTTAGGTGTCGCCCAACCCGCAGCTCTGCAGATATCTGTAAGAGAGGCGATGCGTGCTAACGCCCATTAGGAAGATACCTCTGTTTTGATACGGCACTTCGTTTCTGCCAACCACTGTAACAGATAAAGAGCTGTTCACATGATTTTACATTTTGTGTTCGTTCCACGTAAAGCCGCAAAGCAAGTACGAGACAAAGCAGTGTGTGGGCTGAGCCTGCCCCCTCCGAAGGCAGCGCTTGCAGGTTCACCACCTGATCTCTAAATAGGGTGGTAGGAACCTTGGGCACATAGCCAGGCCGGGGTCTCAGGACAACATGAGAGAGACCAGGCCTGAATTCAAGGCACGATTTGCTGACTGAAAGTGCCTCCAGATCCCCAACTTTCTTAAATGATGGGATCAGCAAAGTTGTCTTTAATGACAGAATTTGTAGGAGATACAGAATCGAGTAGCTCAAATGGATCTCTCTGCGGACCCGCTAGGACAATAGAGAGATCCCAAGAGGGCATGAGATGGGGGCTGGACGGATTTAACCGCCACGCGCCTCTGAGGAATCGGATGATTAGACCATGTTTTTCGAGCGTGTTGCCATCCACCACGTCATGATTAGCGGAGACTCCAAAGATCTAAGCGTGGGTGCCAGATAGTATCCCATTCCTGAGAGAGGAGGTCCTCCCTTAGAGGTATGCACCAAGGAGGGGCCGCTGCAAGGAGTGTCAGCTGTGAAACCCAGGTCTGGTTGGGCCAGAGGGGCGCAACAAACAAGATGCAGCGATGGATATCACGTTCCCGGTGCCATCTAACGAAATTGCGGCCAGCCCGGAGGATGAGCGAGTGCACCGTCGAGGAGCGAGGGGTCCACGGGCCCGAATGCGATGGATTAGCCCCCAATGTAACCCTCAGGTCTGCCTGAGTGCTAACCGCTTGGTGGGGAGCAGCAAGGGTGACTTGACCTAATAAAAGAGCTTGCCGCGACCTCAGTTGCTCAACAGTCAAGCCATTGCAATGCAGGCAAGAACTGTCCGCGAGCACCTCATCAACATGTTGGGCCCCCAAGCATGTGACACAATACTCGTGCCTGTCAACCAGGTAAAGGAAAACACTGCATCCAGAAACGCACAGTCAAAACAACATCTTTAAAAAGACACGCTGCACGACCATGTGCTCTCTTAGGGAATTCAGCTTTTTGTAGAATCTGCTCTTTTAGATCACCAGTGAAATGCCAAGGGGATGGGAAACCCAGCTTGACTGCCGCTAAAATGTCTTACCTCACACTGGTGAAGGAAATGCTTTCTTTAGCGTAGGAAGTCAGCTCAGCAGAAGGGTTCTTCAGTCTCAGACCGAGTCTGAAGCAATAATTCTGGTGAGCTGGCTCCAGCAGCCTACTGATATAGCCCTAATTGGCTCATCAGTTTCAGCTGTGGAGCAAAGCTCCACCAATTCTATTGGCATTTCATTGGCCCATTTTCATATCTTCAGAGGTGATTGGTCTTCTAAAGCACTCCCAAAAGTCTGTTTTTACAGACACACATAGAAGTTCCCTTATGAAGGGGAACTATAGATAAGACATATAACTACATAGAGAAGATTACCATTACATTACAGAATAGCCATGTTTGTTTTGTGATTTAAATATTAGCATGCTACTTAATCCAATCTGATATTGTAATTTAACCAAAACTAACTGTTTGTAGGACTTGCACTATGAAGAAATCACTGATTCCCAGAGGGCCAGAGAAAATTTTAATCTGGAGAACATTAGCGAAGCTCAAACGTATGAGAATGTTGCGTATAAAAGTGACTATGAAAATCTAAAACATGGAGTTTTAAAGCAGCCACAAGCTTCTGAACCTTAGGTGAGCAGTTTTATAATAAATAATCTAGTACTGAAGTCAGCAGAACGTCATATATGTGTGGTCATAAAACAAGTTGTATTTATACAGTAGATGAAGTTCTGCAATAAGGAAATCATTTGACTGGTTAATTTTATAACATATTTGCATAATTTCTCTATTCAGGTATCAAACGTTCCTCCTCTACGCAGATGAAGAAGTAAAGACACTGAAACACATACTGCAAATTACATGCATTGTATTACAGTAGTTTATTCATGGATCTGGTATTGAATTATCCATTTGCAGAAACTGACAATCATCCTCAGATTCACACCACACTCCTGCTAATAAGAAATGCTGTGTGACTGTTATTAATGTTGGTTGAGGTTTTTAATGAGCTAAATAGTCTTATTTCCAATTATGTTCATTGTCCTTATAAAACATTGTGATTGATATAATACTGTTTTATCTATAATAAATGTACAATGAAATTAGCTTTTTTTATAAAGAGCACATGTTGTGTGACATTGCAAAAACAGGATTTTTATAGTGTTTGGCTGTGCTTAATAAGTATTAAAATCTGAATACAACGAGGAATAAATAATTGTTGTTTGCTGTTGTTACTGAAATGTCTGCTCACTTGTCTGTTTAACTCGGTGCACATTAAACCTTTTTAAACATGCTAGCTTAAAACAGATTTTTTATTCATTAATTCATTCATCTTTTTTCGGCTTAGTCCCTTTATTAATCAGGGTTCACCACAGTGGAATGACCACCAACTCATTCAGCATATGTTTTACACAGCGGATGCCCTTCCAGCTGCAACCCAGTAGTGGGAAACACCCATGCACTTTCATACACATACACTACGAACAATTTAGCTTTCCTAATTGACCTATACAGCATGCCTTTGGACTTGCAAGGGAAACCAGAGCAACCTTCATGAACATGAGGAGAACATGCAAACATTCATTCATTCATTTTCTTGTCAGCTTAGTCCCTTTATTAATCCGGGGTTGCCACAGCTGAATAAACCGCGAACTTATCCAGCAAGTTTTTACGCAGCGAATGCAATTCCAGCCGCAACCCATCTGTAGGAGACATCCACACACACTCATACACTACAGCCAATTTAGCCAACTCAATTCACCTGTACCACATGTCTTTGGACTGTGGGGGAAACCGGAGCACCCAGAGTAAACCCACGCGAACGCAGGGAGAACATGCAAACTCCACACAGGAATGCCAACTGAGCCGAGGCTCGAACCAGTGACCCAGTGACCTTCTTGCTGTGAGCACTACCTACTGTGCCACTGCTTCGCCAAACATGCAAACTCCACACAGAAAGAAATGCCAACTGACCCAGCCGAGGATCGAACCAGCAACCTTTTTGCGGCAATGGGAAAATTGCTACACACACGCCTCATATAAAAGATTAAAATAATGAAAATATATTTGGGATTTTGACGTTATTTTATTCAGACTGATTATGATTTGAAATCTGAATAATTTTTTTTATTCAGATATTTTTATTAAATTTTTTTGCTGCACTCCTTGCAGCAAAATTTGATAGATGGTAGATTTTTTTGACAAAATAAACATAATTTAAAAGTGGTAAAACATTAGATTACACTTTTTTTTTCAAACTAGTTAAGAAAAGGCAGGTTTTTATTTAAACTGGACTGAGTTTTGTCTAAAAATGTTAAAGTATAACACCATTAAAAAAATTATCGGGCATAAAATATTGAACAAAACATAAAATCAAATTTACTGTAATGAAATGAAAAGTATTATAAATAAAATTAAATAAATAAAATATAACATTATACATTTTATAAATCAAATGTAAGTTATAAACTTAGCTATTTATTATTACAAATACAAAACTCTCAGAAATAAAGGTATGGTGCTGTCACTGGGGCAGTACCTTTTTAAAAGATACATATTTGTACCCAAATAGTCCACAGTGGTGCCTAAAAGGTGCATATAAGTGCCCTTATATACCTAAAAAGTTCATTTGAGGTAATATTATGGACCATTCAGGTACAAATATGTACCTTTTGAAAAGGTTCTGCCCCAGTGACAGCTACTTTACCTTTATTTCTGTAAGTGTACAGACGTATATAATTTTTTGGTTTATTATATACTGTAGGTAAATTGTATGTGGGTTAGTTCCTTGACCAGGCTTAATATGTTGACTGTTTTAATAAACCCAAAGTCAATGGCTGCAGATCATCCAGTTCCATGCTGCTTAGTAATGGAAAATGCCTGCTGCATCAAATTTTAGTAAATGCAGTATTGACGAATGCAGCAATAATAAAAAAAATATTTTAGTTTTTTTTTAACGTATTTTCATGATCAAAAAAATGTTATGTATTACCATGGTCGAATAAAAATCATGTCTTTACCTCAACACAAGATGGCGCAGTGATTTTTCTGTCTTCATCTGTATCAGCAGTTTATTATTAACCTAAAGCTAGTGTAAATAGTTAAGATGATTTGAGCTGTAGTTTCTGGCAGATGAGAGCTTGATCATGATGGTTTCTCATGGTTTATTATGGACCCTCTGGATGTTGGCCTGTTTTGGTGAGTCTTTTTTTTTACATAAATTATCAAGTGTTGTGTTAAAGTTGTGTTTAAATTAATAAACTATTAAAATAGTGTAGTTGCATTTTTACAGTCATTTTCTTACTGCTGAACAACATTTTTTGCAAACCATTCATTATTGAAGTCACAATCGTCTTATATATATTATATATAAGGCGATTCAAAAAAATATTTAATTGAAATTGACTACAATGTTTGTGCACAATGACTCAAAATTTTAAACACAAATACGCATGATACATTGTATTTCCATTTTAAAACTCGATTTTCTATAGTAAATTAAAAAAAATTTTTTTACATAAAATCAATAAAATTCAGTTTGCTTTTTTAATTTACTTGACAAAAGGAAAAGGAAAAGATTTCCAGTATTTTAAAGACCAAATTGATTGTATTCTGCAAACATACTAATTTTAGTTTTGATGCCTGCAGATACTCCCAAAAAGTTGGTACAGAGGCAAATTAAAAGTGAAAAGTTCATAGAATATCCAAATGATGCAGGTGAACTGGTGATTCATGGGGGCTTCATGGTTAAGTATAAAATGTGCATCTCAGTCCTTTTTAAATAAAGCAGGATCATGGCCCATTATTTTATGCCAAAAGTCATATGAGTTATCAAACAAATCGAAAAATCTATTTTGTCTCGTCTATGGGAAATAGAAAAATCAGTCCTGTAATTCCTGTCCAATCAAATCACACATAGAAGGTAAATCAGATCATGAACTATACCTCAAGACATGTGCACTTTATAAGTGCAGCAAACTGTTTGGAAGCATTAACAGTGTCCAAGACGATGTCTAAAAGTTTCACACGCATTGATCCAGAGACTGTTTATGTCACTGATGAGAAGAACAGATGTTTACTGTATGATGACCGAAATGGCCTTTAACACCCAGCAGGCACAAGATGTCAACATGACATCAACAATGACGTTGTACATCAGCATCGTGGGGGCGTTGTGTTTTGTTTAAAAAATTAAAATCCGTTTGACGTCAAAACTCAACATCAGACCGACGTCAATGTTCAACATTCAACCTAAAATCAACCAAATATCAATGTCTAATGATCTTACAGCTTGACGTTGTGTGGATGTTACCACTATGACATCTATTGGACGTTGGATTTTGGTTGCCAAACCTGACTAATAATTGTCAGTATCTGACGTCAATATGATGTTGGTTTAAGATGTTGGCTCGACATTGAATTTTGGTTTCAACACAACATAAAATAAACCAAATATCAACGTCATTATGATATTTGAATGCCAATAACGTTGTTATTGGTGATCAAAATAACGTTGTCCTTAGACACTGACTAGACATTAAAATTTGGGCACCTGATATCACCTGACTTTTTTTTTTGTGAATCTTGAACCAAAAAATGTTTTTGTTTATAATCTTATTTTATTCCATTCGATACAAGTCCTTGCGAAAGAATCTCTTGTCGCCATCTAATCGTATAACAATTAAACCGGCATTAAGCCAACAATCATTATTAAAGTGGGCCTATTGTGTGGCAACAACCACAGACAGCCCTATGAGAAGCAGCCATCTGCTATTAGAGTTTCTGTACCATACCTACCAAAGATAATGTCAGCGACTAAGAGACATTATAAATGTGTTGTTTTATGATGCACTTCTAAGTCACTTACTGTTGGAATATCGAATCAATTCCATGCGCGTTCAATAAAAAAGGTCAGGAGAGGTTTTTCTTTAAAAATTTTAGTAATTTGTTGGATTGATGTTGGTTTAAGATGTTGGATCAACGTAGGATTTTGGTCACTTTCCAACACAAACTAAAATCAGCCAAATATTATTGGTGATCAGCTTCATTCATTCATTCATCTTCTTGTCGCCTTAGTCCCTTTATTAATCCGGGGTTGCCACAGTGGAATGGACCGCCAACTTATCTAGCAAGTTTTTACGCAGCGGATGCCCTTCCAGCCACAACCCATCTCTGGGAAACATCCACACACACTCATACACTACGGACAATTTAGCCTACTCAATTCACCTGTACCGCATGTCTTTGGACTGTGGGGGAAAACGGAGCACCTGGAGGAAACCCACACAAAGGCAGGGAGAACATGCAAACTCCACACAGAAACGTCAACTGAGCTGAGGTTCGAACCAGCGACCCAGCAACTTTCTTGCTGTGAGGCGACAGCACTACCTACTGCGCCACTTCCACGGTGATCAGCTTTTTATAGGATAATACTCACTAATCACTACTCTTGAGTACTCTTGAAAGGGCTACTTTTTACTCATACTTTGAGTAATATTTACAACAGACACTTTTACTCTACTTGCACTACATTTTTAAGCAAATAATGATACTTTTACCTGAGTATGATTTTTCAGTACTCTTTCCACCACTGGATGTCACTGCATGAAAACCTGTCATGTGGAACTGTTAAA